AGGAAAGGCAGCGGTGCGCGCTTCTCGTTGGAACGTAGCACAACCGTGGAAGAGTGTGCGCGCGTGAGCGAGCGAGCGAGAAGGAGCGGCCGGAGCGCAGAGAGGGAGCGATAGAGGAAAAGAGAAAGAGGAGAAACGAGGGCTGGCAGGTTGGAAAGAGAGGCGATCGTACGAACGAGCGAGCCAGAGCGAGAGAAGAGCGTGGCCGGTGGAAGCGGGATAGGCCGATGGCGAAGGAGAGAGACGAAACTAGGCGAACGAGCGAGCAAGAGACAGAGGACGGTACAGAGTGGCGGTACACGGGGCGCGAGAAAAGCGGTAGTGTGCCGTGGACCACCGCACTGGCATACCGTGGTTCGTTACGATCCCCTTCGTACGTCGTTTCGTACTGAACCTCTCACAGTCATCAGCGAAGTCACATTTCGACTAGTGCTAGTGTGCAGTGCGGACAGAGTCAGGCGTTACCTTTTGGCCCCCCAATTAAAAAAGATCGACCGTTATTTCCGATAACGGGGGCCCTGGGCCTGACCGATCAGAAATCATATATACGAATACATTTCGAAAAGGATAGAGAGAAAGAGAAAGAAAGAAAGAAAGAAAGAAAGAAAGAAAGAAAGAAAGAAAGAAAGAAAGAGAGGGAGAGAAAGAGGGAGAGAGAGACAGAGCGCGCGAGCGACCGAGCGAGCGAGCGAGGTGTCCGCGAGGGAGAGATCGTCGCGTGCCGGCCGACCGAACCGTCGACGGGCGCGCACGCGGTAGAGAGACCCACACAGGGCAGTTTTATAGCCCGTCTTATTACCCCGGTTTATTGCGTCGTAACAGTTTAACGATCATCGCCTGTTTTCCGCCGCCTAGACCACGCCGGTTTACAATCTCGTCGGTAGCCAGTATCCATAACAAACCCATAAAAGTCGGCCCCCGCCGCTGCCATGAGTCCCACTCTGAATTACAATCCTACGGCCTACTGACATTGACACTGTGGGTGCAATCCGCCGCCGCTGACGCCGCAGACCGTACCTAAGCGACCTACCTACCGATGACTTTTATGATCTCATAAAAGCGGTTTAATGCCCGTTTGCTCGTCCCTCGTCGACGCTGTCACCTGTCGCAGCCCGCGTCGAACGGCGTATCGGTGGTGCACGGACCGAGGCGTTCACGTATCGCCTTTTGGCGCGAACCAGCCGAACACGGAACAGGAAACGACCAAGGAACAACACGTATCCCGTGGAACGTGTGCAGATCGGTGAACGGACATCGTCTGGAATCAAATCGTCGTGGTCGGGGCACGGACTAGTAAATCGCTCCGACTAGACGCGTGTGCTCCACGGCGAATTTCCTTCTATCCCGGGGGTAACGGACAGTTCCCGGTAGAGGTGGTTGCTTAAAGTCTCCGACCTACGGTTCTTCTCGAGTGCCGGTGTTTCAGTGCAAGTGATTCAAAATACCCGGGATAATGAACTCGTATTTTGAGCAGACTGCGGGTGGCTTCTACGGGAGCCACCACCATCAAACGGGAGCCGCCAGCCAGCACCATGATCCAGCCACAGCAGCGGCCTACCGAAGTTTCCCCCTTGGCCTGGGAATGTCGCCTTACGCGTCTACTCAGCATCATCATCACACCTCGTCGTCGTTGGGCATACACCCCGGCGGTGGTACCAACACGAGGCCGCCCCAAGATTCCCCGTACGACGCGAGCGTCGCGACGGCCTGCAAATTGTACTCGACGACACCGGAGGCGACCGGACACACCACGTCCTCGTACTCGACCACGGCCACCAAGGATTGCAAACAGCAGGACCAGGCGGCTGCTCATCAGAATGGTTACGCGGCGGTGATGGCAGCCGCGGCCGTCAAGGACGTTTGGCAGTCAGCGACCTCCGGGGCTAACAGCCAGAGCAATTCGGTCGTGCGCCCTTCCGCGTGTACTCCAGAAGGCACGAGGGTTGGTAGCTACGGTGGTCTCGTGGGCGGCGACCCGGCATCGAGTCCCGGTAACAACAGTTCCTCGAGGTCCCTCACGTCGTCCTGGAACACCTGCAGTTTGAACTCGTCCGCGAGCCAACCGGTTGCCACGCAACTACATCAGCAACCCAACGCCAGCCATACCTTCTACCCCTGGATGGCTATAGCAGGTGAGTTTACATTCATAAGATCGCTCGCTCTCCGTCCCCGCTGACTCTCGGTCTCCGTTACGCGGACGATTATCATAACAGCCGTGATGAAATATAGAAGCGACACGAGAGCTTAGGGGAGAGAGCACATACGGGTAGCGTAAAGGCCACGTGGTCGGGAAAGGCGTGGTGCGTCGAGTTTACCCGGCCCGAGTGTACGGCCAGGCTAAATCGTGTTCCACGCGTTTCACGGTCACCGCTAGATCAACCTTTCCAAGACCCGCACACGATCCGTCCCTTTTCCGCGCGTCATAGTTTTGCCCACGCGTTTCCGATCACGCGTGTCCCCCTTTCAGTCTCCGCGCCGCGCGCGAAACCGGCAGAAGATTTAGCGTCGAAGCCCCGGCATTCCTGCGCGTCCGCGAGCGAATCGAAACAAATCATCCCCTCAGTTGGCCCGAAACGCTGAAAAATGGAAGACAAGGTTGTATACAATCGCCGAATGTAAGGTTGACGTTGTCGATCCCGATTGTAGGCGCGTTAGTTTTTTTTCGCTCGTTCCTGCCGGGTCTATTTGTGCGTCGATTGAAATACGACGTATCCGTCACGAAGCGTAGCCGAGATAACGGATTTATAGTCTTCGCCGGACTAAAAATATTCCGTTGCCTTCTGCGCGAATGAATGCACTGCGTGCTTCGCACCGTTGCCCGCCTCCACGGGGGTTGGTGATAACTAATCCACCCGCGTGTGAAAGCGACGCGCAAAGCGACAACCTCGGAGTTATCATTAATACAAGCGGCGTGATTCCGTTCGTCTCTCCGAACCGCGGTATTTTTCAGCTCGCCGTTTAAAAGAGCTTCTATTTTCGTGCCGGCTCGAGCGATCTAAGAGAAATCTTTCCCTCTCCGATGGTTCGCTCGATCCACGACTGACCTTTAGACGCTTGCTTCAACGGCGTTCCAAAGTAAAGATAACAATTAGCTAACGATCAGTCATGTATGCATATTTCGTTGAATATTCATTCGCGTGGCCGGGTACAGAGGAGACAGCAATCGAGCTGATCCGATAGGTCTCTTCTCAACAATGCTGCAAATCGCGTACGCGTTGGGTTCACGTTCTACCATAGGTAGGAGGCGGCGGATCGTGGAAAATCGGTCGTGCGGCGCGATAAAGTTACGTCTGGTGGATAGGTAGAATGGAGTCAAGTGCGTGTAAAATCGTCGGGTACGCCGGGTATAATGGGGAAGCCCTCATCCAATTGGGGTTCAAGTGCCTTCCTCGGCCGTACTCACCCCTCCGGAACCCCGAATTCCGGTAGTCAGCTGTTTCTAGCTATGTCTTTGTCCCACCCGGCGGAAGAGGTGCCCTGCTAGCCTCTCGCTTTGTCGTAGGCAGATATATAATCACCGAGGCCTCTCTCGGCCGCTCTCTGTCCCTCTCTCTCTTCCACTGCTCCTCGTTCCGTTCTCTCCGTCTCTGTCCGGTCGCCGCCTCTTCTCCACCGGCTCAGCTGGGTTTTTCGACTGTTCGTCTCCGTTGGCTCCGATTCTTTTTTCCCCCTTTTTTTTCCATTCCCCTCTTGACCTGTTTCACTCGGCGTCGCCAGTCCGCTCCGCTCCCTCGTTCGCGTCGTCTTCCTTCTCTAGCCTCCTCCTCGCGCCCTACGGTCCGGTTGAAGGTCCGCCTATATTTTTTTCTTCCCGCTGGACCACGCGAGGATCCACTCTACTCTTTATGCATACAAAAGGTGTAGGGATTATTTTATGAGCGCCTGTGACGTAGGCGCGTGCGTTTCGTCCGAGGAGACCGGGAAACGGGATTTTTATTGAACGAACCTCTTCGTTCGCGCCTTCTACAAACACGGGACACACTCGAGACGCGGGTAGGCGGGAGAAAGGGCGATGGGAATTTTTTAATATTCCGAAGGCGTGGCGATCGTCGATGCTTCTCTTCACCCTCGTCTGTCGTGCAGCGCGCGGCACCGAGGCGGCCCGCGAAACGAGAAATCCCCGTTCCTGAATCGGCATCTTCCTCCATTCAGCGACTGAAACAGATTCACGGTCAATGAATCGTCGGCCCTGAAGAGCGGCGGCGGGATCGGCCGCGGGGAAAGTGGCCGGTGTCTCGCCGTTTTCCCGGGCGTTAACGGCGACGGAAACGGAAGATATAATCGGCGCGATTATGAGTCGGCGGGTCGTGTCGACGATGCGGCGGAATGCGCCGCTCGTAGGAGGGAATCGTAGGAACGGGAATAGGCGATTGATCGGCTTCGCGTTCCCGCGGAACAGGTTCTCTATGCACCGCGCCGGATCGAAAGTCCGTTGACTCATTTCGCGCTCGCGCGCCGGCAAGTGCTCCTCAATGTTGCTGGTACTACAAGCCGCGATACACGCGCGTAGGAAAATTTATTGATACAGGATTATGGATTATTTCGTCGTAGATTAAAGTCCTCGGGTAAATATAGAGCCATCAACGTGTCTGCCGGCATTCGCTGCCGACGCCGACGCCGCAACCGTCCGTCCGTCGCCTATAATAAATAATTCGGTTTTATCGTCGCGGCACGCGGAGAACCAATCCGTCGAGACAGTGTCGCTAGGCACCGTAAAAACATAGTGACCCGGAGTAGATGATAAACAACGATTTACGACGTTCCCAGGCGAGAAAAAGTTCATCGTTTCCCCATGCTTAGGTCGTTCGAGCGGTTTCTGTTCACGCAACGATTCTAATCGATGCTCCTCGGAGCATTTCTGAACCCTTTCGCTGCTAATCCTTACATGAACAACGTAACACCGGCAGTAATACCGAGAACAACAAGAAACGCTGTTGCCGGTTTGCACGCACGAGCACCTTCCATTCATACTTTTTAATGAAATCACACGTTTCATTTTAATGAGATTAGTCCGGCGAGGTTGTCGTGCGTTTCCTATCGTCGCCACCGTCGCTCGGTATGCCAATTTTTCCGCTTCTCCTCGGGAAAACAATAAACGTTATCACAGTGCACTATGGCACGCGATGCTCGCGCCTGCCGCGGTATGATTTACCAAACCTGCGGCCGGTATTTGCGTAAACGTCCGTCCTAAGTGCTCTATAAGTGATCGCGGTGGCCGATTACACTGTCCGAATCGCGCACAAATCAACGGCCGATAGACACGGTATCATTAACTCGGTTTTATTGGCGGATCGGTGTTGGGGGAACACGATCGGCGGGACACATTAACGGGTCCGCGTGCACGGCCTCTCTAGCCGGCTAGCTCGTTCGCGGTGCACCGATCGCCGAAGAAAACTTGATTACGCGGAATGGCATTCCGTATCGTAGCCGTTTGATAAACATCAAAGGGCGAGCACGCGGTTGAAATTCATTGTGATTTACGGTCGGCCGCGGACGCCGCTCGTCGGTATCGCCGCCGTTTTCAGACGCGGACGTCTCGCCCCGTTAATGTCACGGTAATGAAGCGATATAACGCCTAAACGCGACCGTAATGAATCGCCCCAGATACGCCCGAGGATTTTATTCGAATAGACAACGTTTATTCAGATAACATCGGCTCGGGAGGCGAGGCGGAGCGCGCTTGTTACGGGCCGCGATCGTTCCACGGATGATTGAACGGTCAGTCGGTTAAGGAGTATTTTTTTTTCCTTCTTTCAATTTAATGGAACACGTTTCCGTGTCTGGCCGGGCAATTCACGAGACGCATAGCTCGACGCACAAAAGTCGTCTGCTCCCTGTCCCGTCGTATCACTTTCGGAGGCTGTTTTCAAACGCGCTCGAAATTTATGGCCCCTCATTGAAGGGTCCCGCCGCGTCTATGGGGTAATTAGAGGGCGTGAAGACGGAGCTTCGAATACTATCTGCACACCCCGTGGTTCATTTATTCTTGCGAAACTGCCTCGTTTCCCTGAGGCTTTCCTTAGAATGCTAATTCTTGTTCCGCGTTATCCTGGCATTGTCGCCGCCCGGACGAAAAAGTCGGAGCGGTGAGGATGCGGTTCAGGTAGCATTCTCGAAAAGTGTATAGATCGGCGCTACCGGAATGAAGCGTTCAACGTGACAATGATTCTTAATGAACAGACGATAAGTAACTTAGAAGTAACTTACATTTAAGTAACTAGTCCCCGATTTTTTAAGAGTTCTCTAAGAAGAATCCAATAAATTTCGGCTTTCGGAATGGCGCGATCGCTCCTAGAAAATTAGAATAATCCTTAAGATTGATTAGGCTCAAAGTATATAAATATGTATAATAAATATCTCATAATATACCGTACTTCTGTAAAGCAAACGAATAACGTGTTGCATCAAAATACGCCATTCCGTTCAAATAACCAACCGCACAGCAAAACCACAAGTTCACGCTTCGCGTGACTCGCGTTCAAATAATAACGGTTCAACAAAGATATTCAGCGAACCGGTTGCAATGACGAAAATAGTTCACATAAACGAAGTTACGTCATGATAATAATCCCTCAACAAACTTCGATAAACTCGGTAGTCTGATAATGAAACCAGTACTCCGGTAAAAAGCGTTTCCACGAACAGCACGGGGGAGCAAAGCGGTTGAACAATAAACCGCAGAAGTCGAGCTTGTAAATCAATAATCCGAGTCTATCCGTTCGATCAACACTTTCCCCGGCGTCCGGGCCCCCCAAATTGATTAGAAAAATGCGAAGTACGTGTCGGAATGTTAACGACCGCGGCGCGCGTGTCGTCCCGTTCCTTTTTTGATTTACGCGCGTCGATACCGCGTCGTTACGGGGATCTTTATTGGCCGGTGCTGGTCTAGCCGCGGCTCCGTGTGTACGAAAGGATAGGAGCTAACAAACCTTGAACTCTTCGGCTCCGAAGCAGCCGAGGTTCCCGCGTAAAAGCCACGTGGTCTCTCCCTCCACGCACTCTCTTTCTCTCTCCGTCTTTCTCCCTCGCACTCTCTCCGGTCTGGTCTCCATCTCTGTTGCACGGCGAGGCGAGTTGGAAACTCGAGTATGGTGCTACTCCACGATACGACGGTTGCCAGTAGGTGTTACGT